CCCCAAAACCCCAAAACCCCAAAACCCCACAAACGATACATATGATAATATTCCAGAAATAAGGAAATAATTGAAAATTATATTTACGATTAAAATTCTATGAAATCATCTGCCCCTAATGGTAGCTTGCAACTTTAAGTTGCTACAACTACTCCAACTAAGAATTAGTCTTAAAAAGCCCTTTACTTTAAGCAACATCGACAAAACCTTGAATAGGAGATATTTAGCCTTGTTAATACTGAAGTCATTGCTAAAAATGAGGAAAACATCAGCAAATTAGCTAATGATCAGTTACAAATTGAGAATTAAGACATCCACGAGTTTTTTTAATAAGAGAAACAAGCTTAGTTGAAGGCAGATATTGCTAGATTAAAGGCCAAATAAAGTCTCAATATACATCCTGACATAAAATAAAGTCTACTTAATAAGGATCTAGCTGGTGTTGGATTGTAACTTCAACCTATCTAGGAAAGAAATAAAACCCCAAAGAGCAAAAAGCCTAATATACTTCAGCAGAATGAATAGTCTCAATAAAACTAAGCATAAATAGTTCAAATTAGAGAAAGTTCTGATAATGAACAAAATTCTGTGATTATTTAAGACCAATCTTAGCCAGTTGATAATAGATTGTTTGTGAAAAAATTAAATTAGGAACGCAAGTTGAGAGAACAGCTAAAGGCATAAAAAGCAAGGTTAGCAGAGTAAAGGTACCAGGAAGAAATAGAGGAAAGGCAAAGGAAACTAGAAGAAGATTTGCAAAAGAGAGAAATCGATAGAGAGAGGAAAAGAGAAGAGACTGAGAAAAGAATATAGGATAGATTATAACAGAGATATTTGTCGTAGTAAAAAATGATTGTGGAAACGAAAAAGATTAGTCATAATCCTAAACTATATAGAGAATTTGAGGAAAAATTTGCCCAAGTATAATAGCAACTTGAGCATGAAAGGCTATAGAAGCTATAGTAAATGAGAGAGTAGTATGTGCCAAAGAATAACTTTAAAGACCATATGGATGGATAATTTAGGAAATATGATGATATCTTAAGAGAGAAGAAAGATGAGCTGAGACGTAAGAGAGGGGCATTTGAAAATCCACAATAATAATACTCATAAAATGACATAAACAAGTATAAGTCTAAATTTTATGAGGAGCAGATAGCTAAGGATCGAGAGTTTAAGCTAAATCATGATAAGTCCAAATAAGAAAAGAAAAGACTGCATGATAAAGTTGATAGTTATGCAAAATATGTGAAGGAAATGTACTGGCCATAAGCATCTGATAACAAAAGAGAAGAGCTAGATTTGCAAATATAAAATCTCAAGCATCCAGTAAGAAAGCCCTAAGATTTTCCACCCTAGATATCAAATAGGAGGGATAATAGCAATAAAAGATAAAGTAGCACAGCTGATAATCAATAGAATTATAAATTCAAGGGAAATTTTAGAAGATCAGAAGGCGCAGATGTTATAGGATAGGAAATAAGGGAATCCGGAATTGGTATAAGCAATCAACAATATAATGGTGGCACAAGCGGATTTATGTCAGAACCTGAGTCAATGCCTAAAATCTCAAAAAATAGATAAAGTGATATTAGTCATTAGCACAATAATAACGGAAATTAATTGAGCTAGATCTCATCGTAACCTCAAATTTAAACAGTAAATCAAATAAACGGAAATAGCATGATTAATAAGAATTCAGTCCATGGGAGACCAAGCAGATTAGTTAATCTAAAGCAGCAATAGCAATACAAAAATTAAGAGTTTGAAAATGATATAAATGGATTTAATGTGCCAGTAGATGATGTTTCTGATGACTATGTAGATAATATAAAATCTAAGCTGCAGCTTTTGGATTAGATTTGAAATTCTTTATATCACCATTGTGATAAATTATGAGAGAGATTTAGCAGAAGAGAGGTAAAATTTCATAGCTCAACTATTATTTTTATCGAAAAACTAATATACTTAACTTAATTTAAGTCATAACTATAATATTCCTTGATTTTATTATTTGAGTTAATAATATATTTAAAACCTAAAATGGCACGTAACGAGGAAAAAGCTATGGCCATGCTTAACAGATGGGTCAAGATGAAGCGTCAACTTAACCAAAAGTAGCGAGAGAAGAGACCAGAGAATGCTTAAAGCTGCACTTAAATATCAGAGTGTGATGTCTGGCGTTAAGGCATTATAAGAGAGCTTGTGAAAAAAGTCTCAGACATTTAAAATGCATCAGTAGGTGAGCACAGAATTAGAGATTTAAATGATGAGATCAATAACTTGATAAAGGAAAAGAAAAATTGGGAGGAGAGAATCAGGGAACTTGGAGGGCCTGATTATAGATAGTAGACTAATAAGTTATTAGAAACTGAGGGTTCAGAGCTACCTGGTGCTGATGGTTATATCTATTTTGGAGCTGCTAAGAATCTACCTAAGGTTAGAGAGCTTTTTCAAAAAGAAGCACCTTCTGCTCCAAAAGCAACTAAAATTGACTTATATAAAAGAGTTACTTATGGCTATTTAGGATATGTTTAAGACACTGAATTAGAGAGGAAGGAAAGAGAATATGAAGAAAAAATCAGAGCAAAGAAGTCTTAAGAGGAATAGAGAAAGAGATAGAAGACTGACACTAATAGTACAGGATAAGATTAAATACCAGGTTCTAGTGGTGGGCAAAAAATGAATATAGAGCAATTTAAGTAGTTACATTCTCTTAAGATGAACATATTTAATCCATCTGAGCAAACAAAGCAGACTAATTTAAGAATCATTGACGATGAAGATGATTAATATCACAATCCTGTAGATTAATAAGCTGAAGAAGTAGACGAGGAAATTCAAGTAAGTTAATAAAAAGAGCAGGTGCAATGGCAGGCAAAAACTAAAGAAGATTTACTTAAGAGACTAGCAGAAAAGAAGAAAGAATTGTTGATAAAGAAATATGCCAGTGATGATTTAAATTAATAGCAATAATAGATGAACCATGACTGAACCTAAATACAAAGATTAATGACTTTGAGAGCTCAACTGATTAATTAAATATACACATAATTCAATTCATAATCATTATTTCCATTAATGAAGCTCTATGAACTCATAGAGGGGTTTTGGGGTTTTGGGGTTTTGGGGTTTTGGGG